GTATTATTACATATTTTATACTAGCATGGAATATATGGTGTAGTACATACATTACAATCTCCAAAATATCATTAATCCAATCTAACAATAGATATGTCAATGGAAATAGTCCATGAATTATATCTTTCCTAAACAAATTATATGCAAATGAAATACATATTTAAATGTATTAAAACATATTATAATTGCATCTAAATACCACTTAAGTATTTATTATTAAATCAATATACAATACATTGTATATGGTTAACTTTAAATAAAATGTAGCTCCAAAACATAACACCCCAGTTACACAGAGTCATCGGTGATTGATCGATAGATTTTTCAGACAAATTATGGAGTGAACCGATGACAACGTATTTAACACCGATATCACCTATTGGTCACCTGTTTTCCACCTATCAACTGCTATTGGGGAAAGATAAGTTTCATCGGTGAAAAATTACCGATTGGGATTTTTAAACATGTTTAAAATTCTCGATCGGTGAAAATAGTTTACAAATAACCGACAGCAACCTATATCACGAGATATGCAAGCTCTTAATCACCGATATTGCCGATCGGACAAAGATAACCAAATATGAATCACCGGCCATATCAGACGGAAAGTGTTTAACCACTAATGACTAGCTATCAAACACCGATTTATCAGCGTTACGCCCGATTTAGCTCCGATTTACAAACGATAAAAACCGATAGTATTTCAGCATCATTTTTATCACCGATCCAACCCCGTTTGAGTTTGCTTTCTGTCACCGATGGCCGTTGACACAGAAAACCAGAAATAAAATAACGCATGACAACCGATCATAACAGCGAGTAAATTTAAAATTTAAAAACCGTCTGTGTAACTTGGGCCATTTAAAAACAATGACATATAAACATTATGTAACAATTAAACCGATTGTGGAACTGATTTTCTGTAACTCTGTGATCTTAATTGTCTGTACTCTAATTACTGTAAAATAAAAACATCATTGCATAACAAATAGAAACAGTGATTTCTAGGAATTCGTGTAGGATAAGAAAGTATGCTGCAATCTTGAATTCTAACACTTAAGAATAATACTACAAATGTATCTAAATAACTTTAAATATATCCCCAACTGTTTTTATTATAATAATCACAACTTAATTTTGTCGAAATTGTTACTTTTAAGAACAAATGAATAAAACATACCAATACCTATTCATCAATCATTCTTTGTTAGTTGAAATACATCTACTTAATACACATCTGATTACACAAAAATATGACCTTAGACGACCCTAACTTTCAAGCTGATTGTTAAAAGGGACATAATTATACAAAGTTGGGACTAAAATCAAACATGGACGACAGAGTAGTCTTTTTTGAAAAATAACAATAAACACAAAAGGCATCACTTATACTAGATCTAAAAGTATTATTCATTTCCCGAAGTTAAAGCTAAAAAATATCAATTTTAACATGAAGAATTGTTTTAATTTTCTACAAGTGATATAAAAACATTCCCCTGAGATAAAATTGCCCGATTTTCTGATTCTATGTGTTACAGTAAGACAAATATTTGGATAGTATTTGATTTACATGAAATAAATTTGTTTCATACATAGTACAACATTTCCCCCTAAAAGTATTAAAACTAAAGCTATGTTATTTGTATACTATTGTAAAAAACAGTATACATCACACAACAATTATATATGCCGTCGATATATGTAAAAGAAAAAGCGTCATTATTAAACGGCTGAATTACCCATTGTTCTTGTTCAAATTAGACATATCGAGTAAGAATATTCTTGAATTCAAATAAATTTCTGCAATAAAAGTATTTAACCTATAGTTGAGTACACTATATCTTAAAACTTAAAAAGGACCAAATAGAAAATATTGAATGAGTGTAAGTTTAATACTGAATTTATTGAACGAGTTAAATAAAATTATTTTCTGCCAGGCTCTTGCAAGCATAATACTAGTTTATTCAACGAGTTTGTATTCAGTAATGAGCTCAAACGAATTTATTGTTCTATTTATCATATACCAATGAAAGGAAAATGAAACATTTTCATTGCCGCGTCTATAGTTTAGCGCTAACATTTAGCGCTTCTTAACGTTTGTGCAACGCAAATAACGTCAGAACGTCACGCTAAAATATATGTTCGGCCGTGAAAATAGAGAATACATGGGTGATGTCGGTATGGAGAAGGTTTATTCAGTGAGCGAGAAATTGTATCTTGGCGACCTTTAGCGAGCCAAGATTCCCTTTTGCAGCGAACTGGATACACTTCTCCATCCCGACATCAACCATGTATTTGATTTATCCTGCTTTTAATAATGTTTTTAGATTAATTAAATGGTTTAATTCATACTTTTCCCGGTAAAATAGCTTCTATATGTAGTTTTGTTTAGCTGCTAACCATGTTAAGTCATCATATGACGTAATGACTGGAGATAGATAAGTTTATCCGGCAGGGCTTTATCCAATCTCCTACGCAGTGATCTCCAATTACAGGATAGTTACTGGCCGTAGCGTAAACGGTGCGTGGAGTTTGGGCTTTATCCAGCTGATGAAATAGACAGTAGCAGGATAATAAATTTTTATCGGAATCTCAAAATCGGCACGGGTTTGGGAAAAATTTCTTCAATAGAATGCTCTTAAATATAGTATTGTGATCAAACATTTATGACCCAAAATTGCAACAAGTTTAAAGGGCTTAAACCTCAAAAACGAAAACTACAGCATTGATGCTTTTATAAGTGTTGTTGTTGCTGTATTTTGTAATTTTAACTGTATCGAAAAAATAACCAAATACTGTTTGAGTGTCCTGTCAACTAATAAAATGAGCGTATATGGGCATTCCATAAATTATAATATAAAGATAACGATGTTTAATCTATTAAAACTCTAGTTTCAAGTGGTGAACTTGTCATGAAAATATATATTGCAAAATATCACGTCGTCTGAATTGCGGTTTAGATCAATACCTTTGCCCCAGTTTTTCATAAAGTAAACATTGATGAACTTAAAACGGCCGATCCCTCCATCAATCAACGTTTTGAAAAAAAACTTATCAAATATTGTGTAGGTTCAGTTTATTAAAAGCAAACACATTCTTCAATAATAAAATGGTAAACAATTTAGAGCGTTCTATAAGTATGAACTAAGTGGGAGGATATGGTATTATTCGGCGCTCCGTAGATCGCCGGTTATACTTAATATTGATAAATCTTAAGCATGTGATTTCTTGACCAAATGTTCAGATGAATTGTAAAAACAATCCTTTTTTATATGATTTTTTTATGATGATAAGCGGCCGAAAGGCAGTTTTTTTTAAAGGGGAATTGTTCAAAAATAATTTATATAACATTAAATTATGTGACAATAACCGACATTTCTTCAGCTTGTTTATTTTGTACAAGCTTGTGTCACATCATTTAAAAGAACGCTACATCCATAAATGTCGAAGATAAACAGGAAGACGCCAACGACAATAGACTTCTCTGACTTTTGTTTACGCATAAGTCTACGTTTCTTCAAAATAATAACAAACCTGACGTGAAGACAAGTCATGCCATTGTGTTCTTTGGTGGCTGAACTGGATAATAGATTGACTTTATTGTTGATTACCTCTTTGATATCAGGATGGTACACAAGGGTAAAACTAAAAACAAGTAAAGATAGCAAAGCAAAAAGACTGGTTGAAAACCGTTCTTAAAGAATCACGTACATGTACCAAATGAATTTATATTTCAAAACAGAATTGCACATTTTCTTCCATTTTCACTATCATTAATTATGTTGACTATAAATTAGTCATTATAAAAAGTAGAAAAACAGAACCCCTAAAGAACGCCAAAATGACAAAATCGAAAATGTTGAAGACTCGGTTTGATTGAGTGTGTTTGAATAACCGTGCACGCCCCCCCCCCCCTCCCTAGCATCGGGAGAATTCAGTAAAACAAATAAAAAAAACATCTACAGATTCTCGTTTAATATGTCGTGTATTTTATTTAGAAAATATTAATGGTAAAAACACGGATCATACGCATCAATTAGAAATTAGATAATACCAGCTGATCCCATTCCAACATTCCAACATTTAAAAGATGAAAAGACCACGTTTTACGTGTAAACGTCATTGAAACATCTTACAATATCCTTAGAATGATTTATATTTTTTTACAAACAAAACACAATTATGTTTAGATTCTTATAATTTTCATGCACTGAATTGTTTCTATACGAGTAATAGCGGGATATCAATTTGAAAACAAATTGTATCTTTAATTACAAGTAGATATGTTGCATTCTTTCATTATCCCTCATGTACAGATTCAATCAAACCGAGTCTGCAATTTTCATGTAATTTTGTTCTGTTTAATACTTCCGAGGGATCACACTTTATCCAGTTTTTTTACATACCTTTACCATTTGATATACTTGTTCTGTTTTGACATTTTTGTTTAAAATAGTGTAAATATTTTATGACAGACGTTTAATTACTCATCAGCTATACTAAAGAAAGGTTGATTTCTCTTTTCACTGTAACCATTGTAGCCCACATTTTATTGCTTTATAAGAAATTGATCAGCCTATTGAGATGTTTAGCTTATATTATAATATGTGGTCCTGGGCATATTTATTAGATTGGGGAAGGAAGTGTGTTGATAAAATACCCTAACAAACTATATTTAAACTTTATAAAACCCGTCTTTAGTTCTCAATCTTACTAATAACTTTAGGGTATACTATATTAATAACACATTTTTATTGCGTGTTCATTACATTTAAAACTACCTTCACAGAAATATTTAAAAGATTCGTGCTTACGTAAATAAGGTTTTTTAACTTGACATACTGATATAACCATATTTTATACAGGTAGATGCTTGTTTAAGACTATATCATGACGTGTAAACATGAAGATAATTTCCATAACTATTTTCCGATAAACAGATTGTTACCAACGTGCGTCAGCGATAACACACAACTAACAAAGTCATCTTTAAAGTATTTCGCATTACAGTGTCTTATCAAAAGTAACGTGATGGCTATTTCTAATTTTAATTCACAATAACAAGTGTACTATCAGACGTAATGGACGATTTTATTCGTTTTATTACATGGAATACAAAGAAAAGAGCAAATCAAAGGACAATATCATTATCTCAGGTGATGAACCGAAACAAACTTTCCGAAAAATATCACATGCTTTTATTTTGCCGGAATATTTAACTACTTATCAGATACTGAGTGAATCAAAATGTCTTCTACAAAACGCGGTTCGGAAAACGTTTGTGCCGCCGGTCAAAACAGAGAAACGCCCACAAAGAAAAGAAAAAATCAAACTGAAGAACATGATGAGATTGACGATGAGTGCTCTGGTGCAAATGTAAATGGCTCTGAAAATAGCCTTTACGGTAAGAAGCTGCCATACCAAACTATATAACTGAATAAGTTGAATAATTTGTTCACACGTTTATTAGGCTTGTTAAATTCATTTACGAGATATTTCATTATTTATTCATAAGTTTATGAATGGTTGACAATTTTATCACAAAAATTATCTTAATAACCTCATTGAACTTGTTGTTTTATAACGTCATTATTTTTCAATGTATCTTCTTAAAACTTTATATATGTATATATGTTTGTGATTATCACTCAAATCATTTGTGAGAAGGTTCAATACGCTAGATTGACTATTTCCAGAATTATGTCCCCCCCCTTTGAACTTAGATTGTTTTTCTAGTAATTATTAGTTTTTACTCACACTTCTTCATTCCTTCTAGGATAATTTTCAAACTCCCACATCATGATAATATGACAAGGTTTATGAATCTAGCGTTCATATTTCCAAAATTATCTCCTCCTTAATTTTGAATTTTTCTTATTTTTTTACTTTTTATTTCTTCATGAATTTACTCCAAATTCATAAATATACATTTATTATCAACACGTTCATGATATCTGATTATATTCATAAGTCATGTGTTTCCATTGCTATTTTCATTTTGAATTTGAAATATATTTCACTTTTGTTTTAATTTTCTTCTTTATAACTATAAATGATATATTTAAAATTGTATATTTCACCTTTCTTCTTTGTGATTAAAAGAATTTTGCGTATTTATATTTGGTAACACATAGGAATGTGTAAAGATTTACCATCAGAGTATCTTTCAGTCCGTCTACCTGTCCGTTCCTAAAAAATGTTTCTTGAGATCTCTGTAAAATTATCTAGATACTGCTAGAAATAATTGATGTGTTCTGCTGTATTCTATAGTAGTTTAGAATGTACTAGTAACTTTCATCTAGAATAATCTTTGATTGGTATATATTGCTAGTATTTTGTCAATGTTCATTCATTCTAAAAGCTAAAAGTATTCTGAAATGTATAATAAAGGGTATTCTTAAAAGTGTGTTAAAAGTTTATGATTGTAAAGTTTAAAGTTGTTAAAGGTGAAAGAGGATAAAAATAAAAGAGAAACAAGACAATTGGATTGCTGTGCTTTGTTAAAGACATTGATAAAAAGATAGCGTGGAAAGGATCATAGTCCAATGTGATGATTTAAAACCAGGATTTACAAAATACATAATTATTGCTCTTCCACAGTAGAAACTAAAGGAAACCTATAAAAGATCATCACACAAACTTTACTGAAATGATTAATATCAAGTCTAGTTGTGCATTTTGTAGGCAACTTTCGGTTCAATGATTTTTATAAGAGTTATTGCCCTTTAATGATTTTTATTTTTAAAGCTTCTGTGGACTTCTCCACATAAGCAATTTAAAAGAACCTTTACATTGATCAGTAGCTTTGGCGACATATAGGGATCGCTTCTCAGTCGTCTGTCTGTCTGTCGTCCATCTATTTGTCTGTCTATCCCCCCGGCTGTCCGACACACAATTTGCCTGACTGCTCCTAAGAAACTGCTAGTACAATGTCATCCAGACTTTACAGGTATAATCAGTACCTAGTCTAGTTGTGCATATTATCAGCATTCTGCTCCAATGATTTTGTCAGAGTTATGACCCTTTAAAGAATTTTATTTTGTCAGATTTCTCTTATACCACTAAAGCAGATTTGATGAACTTTTTAAAGGATTGATCTGTAGCTCAAGTAATTGCGCATGTTACACGAAATTTTCGGTTGAATGATTTTTGGCCGAGTAATGACCCCTTGAATAAAAAAGGTGTTTTTTGTGTTGGCAGGTACAAAGAAGCTTATCCGGACTTCTCCCAAGACTTATAATGCAATTTTATCAAAACTTTACTGGAGTGATAAGTACTTTAGTCTAGTTTCCGGGTGAAGAAAATTTTACTTGAGAATTGGCTCTTGAATATGAAAAGGTGTTAATAAAGTATTTAACCGGTCTACATTTCTTATACCATTTATGTAATTGCTATGTAACTTTACAGAATTGATTGGAAGAGCAAATTACACAGGGATTTTGCTTGGGTGATCTTTGGCCGAGTAATGGCCCTTGAATAAAAATGATTGTTTTTTTGTGTTGCCAGCTGCACAGAAAATTGTCTGCACTACTCCTCAGAAACTGCTCGAGCAATTTCATCCAAACTTTACAGGACTGGTCTAAGTTTAGTGTAAGTCTAGTTTGCATATAATCTGCATGTTTTTGGTTTTAGGATATTTATGAGAGTTATGGCTCTTTAATGATTTTTATTTTTAAAATTTCTCCAAACTACTCCTCTTATACAACTAACGTAATTTCAATCATGAAACGTTACTGGTTTGATTAGTTACTCAAGTACTTGAGCATATTACGCGGGTTTTCCGTTGAATGATTTTTGGCGGAATTATGGCCCTTGGATTTAAATCCCGTTTTCTCCTGCTACACAGTAGATACAATATGCAATTGGTTATCATGAGGTGAAGCATGTGATCATTGACAGCTCTTGTTCGAAATACGAAACGACCCGTTTCTGCGTTGACGTTTAAAGAACAATTGCTATTGAATCTCAACCGTTGAGGACTCTGTCCATATGCTATCTGAGTCAAGTGTTTTTCATACTATAAAATTTGCAAATTGAACATCATGCAGCATTTGAAAGATGCATTTATTCACCTGAATTTAAGAGAGTTTCTCGTTTATTCCGATGACATCAAGGCTTTCAATTGGATTAAGTATTGAACATTTGCTGATTTTAACCTAAAGATTATCTTATCATGGTTTGAAAATTTCAGATAAAACCTCGATTAATACAGGTAATGTTGGTCGTGTAAGAAGGTGAGGTTATCTTTCCAAAACTGAAGTTAATAGTACTAAAAAAGAAAAGAAAAGAGGAAAGATTTTTGCAGCGTCAGTCAGACCAATGAAAGATCTCTTATCCGACAGCCAACTAAATATTATATAGCCTTTTCTTCTTCAAGTACAATTAATATTGTTCATACATGAAACACTTTACAAATCTATAATTAAGCAATAGACCAAATCAAGGAAGTGATGACGAGAACAAACCAAATAAACTATCAATTTAGCTTAGGGTAGCGTCAATTGATTTAAATAGATAAAGTGTTAAGCACATTAGCATAATATGTTTTTTCTCTGGAAAGCAATGCATACAATAATTTGATGCATGTAATAGTTACAAGATCTCAAATTTATGAACTTATTTTAAGATTAACTTAAAAATAAACGCGCCCCTAAAATTCACAGGAGGAAAAAATATTTCAATAGAATGATGCTATTGCCAACTCTGCGTCTTTTATTACACTTGAGTTAGCATGACGTCGTACATACGGACGTATCAGCATTGACTTAGCGCCAATGGATATTAATGTTTCCCTGATGCTTGTATCAGAACTGTGCGGTCAAAGTTTTTAAGTCTTTAACTCTACGCTACGCAACGCGATTAACCTAGCAAAGAAACCATCGTTTACTATATACATTTTGGCGTGACAGGAAGCATATCGGAAATTTTACTAGACTACAATTATCGAAATCGCGAGGCCTTTTTATAGTTTGATCGCGCCGTGTTGTGAACAAAGGTTTGTTTGAAATCAGCATAGATATGTAATCTTTGTTCTGTTCTCTGTAACAGTATTGTATGAGAAAATGACTATATGCCGACCATTGGCCCATCAATATTATCCCAATGAACATTTAAAATAATTTGACTGAGTGTTTTGATGGGCTCTCATGTGATATTTTTTCCGTTCTTTTGTTAAGTACACTCAATGACAAAATTAACAAAGCGTGTTCCTTTGAAACGATAGTTGAGGGTAGTTGAGAGAAACAAAACTGTATAAATTGTTCGGCCAACATCGAAATCAAAGTGAAACTAGTCGAGTGATAAGTAAATATAATTTGAATGTAAAATTATTGAAATGATTGAATCATTCGCGAACAATAACCAGTTTTTATTTCAATGTGACCCGGAATTGTCAATAGCCCAGAACTGTCGGGTCCACAGTAATTTTTTTATTGATATTGTCTTATATTTCAGAAACTCAACTATCGGAAAGACAGGATGAAATTCTGTATCTACAATTAGTGTATATGTTCGTTGGTTTTGGAACAAAAGTGGTTTTAAATTTATTTATGACCTTACTAAAGAATGACAACAGATCTCTTGTTACTTTCTTGACATCACCTGAGTCGCAAAAGACACTTGAAGAGTTAAAAAGAAAGAAACTATTAAGTGCAAAAGAATACAGGCTTTCAAGCGGGAAATGTCCGAAAACAGAAAACTTTGACATATCTCTTTTAATAACTTTATTACAGAACTTGTTACCAGAAAAAATACTTCCTGCACCGAAAGAAGGCTGGCAAAACCCTCCTCATCAAACAGATCATTCCATATCTGCAGATTTGTTACGTCTCCGTATGATAAGAAATGAATTTATTGCACATATGGCAAGACCCCCAATTCCTTGTTTTAAATTCGATAGAATCAAGGATGAGTTGTTGATAATTTTCATCCGAATTACCCAAACACTCGAGCCTCACAGGGAAGCGGAAGAGATAAAGACAGAAATAACCAATAAAATTGATTCTTATCAAGTTCGTGTAGGTTTGTCAAGGACAAAGCAATATGAAAGTCTGATAAAGGAATGGGCAACAACATTCAATGAAAGGGTAATATGCCTTTGCACCCAAAGTTTGTTCATTTTGGTTTTAAATTTGGTTTCAACATATTTTGGTCATATCTCGGCGGAAGTCCTCTTAACTGACTTCCCTGAATATCTACCTACTCCTACTCCCACATGATTTCAGCGTTTACTGACAGATAACGTTACAACTCCATGGCTGAGATTAATTGTCAATGAGAAATTTCGCTGCCTCGCGCGAGCATCAAACCAGCAGCCTCTTGTTTACACCCAGTCAAAGTTTGTGATCAGTTGTAAAATTGGCATGCCTATTTATAATTTGAAGAAACATTTCTTTGGAAAGTCTTTTCAACAGCATTTTACATACTAATTAGTATATCTTCATTGCATGGTTACAAACGACGATAATCAATAATGCTATATACTGTCAACTTTAAATGCATTTTGTTTTAAGAACACAAAAAATAGTTTACCTATTTTATTTTCTGAAATACAATTTATTCTTACAGGTAGAAATGTCTCTCAAAACAGTGAATGGTAAGATTTATTCTTTTTCATAGTGTAAATATTGGAATGAAAAAAAAGTAATTGACTTGTAATGATATATAAGCCAATTTGAGTTTAGGTCAAGCGGTACATTTTTTTTTCAGACATGAAACTAAAACAGGCATGTATAGTAATTCGTCCACAGGGTGAGGTCCAACTTAAATTTAACTGAAAAATTCAAATTGCTTAACAATATCAATTTTCCATGTACATATATAAAACAAAAAACACAGTCCATGAGTTAACTTTTTTTATTATTTGCCAACCGGTTTCTCTTATGATCATCAGGGCAAATGTGACGTCGTCGCTTAGTATATATATACATTGAGGGTTTAAGTTGTTTTCTATCTCTTATGCTCATGACAGATGTCAATTTAATAAGAGCATTAAAACATTGATAATATAGTTTTAAATCTTGCAACGTGCAATTAGAAATTATATATACCAAGAACACCTTTGCATCGTATAAAAACATATCATTTATGCTCAAAAAATCTTTCAGAGTTTGAGTTATACTTTACCGAAAGACCAAGGCGATACGAGCGGTATATGAAACTACTTATAGAGGGTGGTAACAAAGTTCTGTATGGTGTATTAGAAAGAGAATGCAAAAAGAGAAACACTAGTGTGCTCACATACACCGATTCTCTCCAAAGTCAACGTGGTTACGAAAGAAGTTTTACAGACAGTACCACGCCAGAGTGTGATGTCACTAAACTTGCTACACTGTTACTTGAGCGCTTTTGTGATGAGTTAAGTGAGAATGAACGAATAGAAATTAAGAAGATACGATGTGCTGTGGAAGAACATGCGAATGCGATTATCGCTTCATTGGACAATGAAAGCTTTACCTCACTGTGGACAAATCTTGTCAGTTGTATAAGATGTTTGTCGATGATGTTAGATACAAAAATAAAAACGCAATGTGATGATCTCATTGAAAAATGCTCAAAAGATGTTGAGGCTGATTTGAAAGATTTCCAACGATATTGTACAAATTTGAAGAGCCTCACTGATGTGTACCAAGGTATACAAACAAAGTCAAAAAATCTCTTGTAGACCAAAACCTGTAACTATAAAACCTAAAAAAGAAAAATAGTACTTTTTGTTTTCAAAATAGAACAACTAATCAACAATATAGCAATTTTCAATAAAAGTTTTTGACAAACTATAACAATGTATTTAATATAGCTTCTGCTGATGTGTTTCAGGTGAAATTAAGCAGTTAAGAGACCTATTAACGGAAATGAAAGATAGTGATATACCATTCCAGAGGCCACAAAGTAAGTAGATAATATATCTTGCATATGACATGTCGTTATTCTCCGGATACTGTAGAATATAATGAAATACAAACGTATTGCACCACATAAATAAATAAAATGTTCTAACGTCAAGCTTTAAGAGGCGACCGTCTGTATTGACATTTTAGTTTACGGTGTACCAAGAATATATGATTATAAACTAAGACACAATAAAAAATACATTGTCCCTGAAAGGCAAATGAGGAAGACAAATTATTGTGTTTATCTATATATTTTACCTTTATTTTTTATATCAAAGTTATTCCATTAACCCATTTTCATTATCAGCTTTGGAAATCAAAATTATAACACTTGGGGAAAACAAAGAGAAAACAAATATGGCAGAGAAAATATTATATACAGTCTGGAAAGAGGCTTTGGAACGAGTTGATGATTCAACTTATTTCATATCTGTCAGGACAGAGGTTGACAAAATCCTTAGTACAATAAGAAGCACGCCGGATATTACAGATATTTCTGTTGCACATAAATGCATTATACTAAGAATACAATCTGATACACCAGCTGCTATTTTGGAACTTTTTAGTTATTTGGAAAAAGGCACTTTTGAACAATGCATGAATATAATTGGATGTGAATTGGGGGCAATTTTTGATGAAGTTTTTACTTTGAAATCGAACTTTGCTCTTGAATCTCTACTTAGAATTTCATCAAACATACAAGGTAAGTACCAATGGTTACATCACAGTATTTTTCGTGTACGTAAAATTATTCTTTACAAGCATGTACCATAGGAAGTAATCATTTGGGAGTAGTTTTTAAGCTACTTAATAAAATATGGCGTTTTCTTAATCAAAAGTTTAAATATAGCCTTTTAGACGGTCTATGGAAGAACAAAACATGTTATTTTGATATTGTGCATTTTGGGGAATTGGGGAATCTGTTAAACTACATACAAAGTTTTCAAGATTTAAATATCAGTTAATGTTCGTTTATCACAATATAAACTAGTATTATAGAAACATAATTTGTAAATGTTTAGCAAGGTCACTATGACAGTTTGTATTATCTTCTATTATCAATGTAATTATCAATAATGTTTAACAATCTTATCCACTGAAATAGTGTGCAAAAAAACGGAGATAAAGAAAGGGAATGTTCGTGTACAGTAAGGTCTCGCTATTAAGACCACTTTGGGCCCTTGTAAAAGTGGTCTTATTATCGAGTCGGTCTTAATTTTTAGACCCATGCAATATGTATGATAAATATGTGTGAATCTGTAATAGGTGATTATCATTAACAACTGGAATCGCTGTAGAAATGTAACAGTTTGAACAAAACAAACCTTGTAACATGAATTTTATTCAAAAACATTTATTTATTGAAATCATCACATGTATGCATCATTTCTTAATGCATATGTCAATATCTTTAATCATGGTGTGCTCAGATATCGAGTTCTTTCATCTGCGATCTCTTGCAGTTTTGTTGGATCCATTATTTTCCAACCAATTTTATTACACAGTCTGTTGTGAACCTGAAAGAAAAATAAATAAGACAGTTTATCTTTATTAAGTAAACATAAACTGTATCTATAAATGTTTCTCAATTTGAAGTTACAGAAATACAAATTGCTGTTTTTGATTTGTGCAAACATACAGTTCATCAAATATTGAATCATTTTCCTTTCTCATACCATTTCATATTACATGTTAGCTACACAGTATGCTACACAGTATCCGTAATAAAACTAAAGACTTGTTGGCAAATCTTTTTAGTGATAACAATTCTTTATTACTTAAAAATGCCACTCATTTTAAAAGTGAAAGAAGAAATGAAATTTTGACAACACTGTTATTGTATAATTAAGATAAAGGAAATCCTGGAAATCAAAATGGTATCCGACTTCCGATTACGTGCAAATCAGCCGCTGGTTTAATGGAAGTATGGTCACTATTTCAAAGTAAAGAAATGGAAGGCAGTACAAAGATGATGGCTAGATCTTTTTCTGAAAATCTGGGACAAAACATTATGCTACAAACTCATCCGGGATTTGTTCACTATTATAAGGAAACAGGTGAATCTTGTGTATCCATTTTTTTTTTTTTTTTTTTTTTTTTTCAGTTTCGGGCGCCCAGTTAAGGGGTAACCCCATTTATTTTCCCCGTCATTGGCATAATAGGGATCGAGGAGCATCCTCCTATCAGCCTTACAATAATACAAGTATATATATTTGATTTCTTACAAAATAAGAAGCAGTATAGATAATGTAAAAAATATACAATTCGCAAAGGTATCATTTACTTGTCCGAAAAACGAAAAATGACAAGGTTGAAAAGCGAGTTAACTCTTTATGAATTAAATCTATAATTTCAATTGAGTTGCGACCCATACATTAAAGGTAATATTCATACAAATTACAAATATTTTAAAAATTCTGTCACTGAATCGTCTTTATTTCTACATTTGTATTCAAATTGGTATTTTATATCATTGAACAAATTTCTTAAAAAGATAGGTATTGGTTGATATGAATAATTATGCTTACAATTGTTACGATATTTCCAAATTGCCCATTTGGTTTCGAATATAACGGTATTGATCAATTTATCATTAATTGCGTGTTCAAAAGATCCAAAAAGTGCAGCAGATTGGGAAATTGAAAAATCATTTTCCAAAATTTTAGCGGACTGAAGTTTTTGAATTACATATGTCCAAACATTCTTAGAAAAATCACATTCCCAAAAGAGATGAAACAAAGTTTCTCTGTGAGATTTACATATACAACATTTACCGTCAGATAAATTCATAAGAGACAGCTTGTGTTCTGTATAAATAACATTGTGTAAAAATTTCCACTGAAATTGTACAGCTTTGCATGAAGAAAAAGAATCATAAACGTGGCACCATATTTTACTCCATGGTAAACTCCATATTAAGTAAGGTTTCCCATTTTTCTTTCACTTTTCAAATTTACCAGTCTTTTTGATTCCATATATGAGAAATTTGTTTTATTTTAATATTTTCAGGCAATATTTTTGTTTGCGTCTTGCTCGTTAAGACAATATCGTCTAAGTGAGTGTAATTCGACACTGTTTCATAATCATAGTCTTTTAAAGCAGTAATATACAATTAAGGAATGCTTGATTTGAGAATATGTCATCCGGCAATCCAATTTTGCGTACATTTTAATTTCCTTAAAAGAGTGTCTATGCCAAAAACAATTATTATTTTCAAAGTCCCAAATATCTTTTTAAATCAATATATTACTTTTAACATATGAATTGAAGTAAAGTGTTTTCTTGCGAAAACGAATTTCAGAGTTACAAAAAAGAAATATATCTTTTACATCGGACAGAGACTTTGGCTTAAACTTCGCTTTAAACCGACACCAATTTTCGAGAGCGGATTTGTAAAACGTACTTATGTTCAATTTGAAAGGTAAATTTTCTAATGAGGAACATTTACATAGAAAATAATCAATTATATCTTCTCCATTAGTATCATGTTTTTGTAAAAAATATTTTCCTATTGCGTTCCAGTTCTGTATGTCAGAGTGTATAATTTGTATATTGTTTTAACATCCAGACTGGCTTGAATATTTGAAATATTACAATAGTTAAGGCCTCCGTCTTTCAGGTCAAGGAGAATTGTGCTTTTTGAAACTAACGGTCGCTTATTGTCCCAAAGAAAATCGCTCATAGTTTTTTCTATTTTCTTCTATGTATTTTGTCGGTATACCGCGCGTTTTAATTTCAAAATTTAATAATAGAAACTACATATGTTTTCAGAACAAGAATTTTCCCTTTAAAAGTCAGGCCCCGAGCTTTCCATACTTGAAGACAATTTTTAATTTTGTTTATCTTTTTCATCCAAATTTCGTTCGTATCTATATTATAGCCGTGACAAATTCCTAAAGTTTTAACATAATTTCTCGTCCATTTTATATCTTTAAATTTCGGAGTCCTGTCTTTTGATTTTCCAATAAAGATGCCTGTTGTTTTATCCTTATTCATTTTGGCCCCAGAGGAAACTTCATATTCTTTTAAAGTATTAAATATTTCTGGAACTGAAGACTCATTCTCACAAAAAAATTGTGTATCGTCAACAAATTGACATACTTTTAATTCAAGCTCATAGCCATTTAACGAAGGCAATTTAATGCCGTGTATATTAATATTATTTCTGATTGCACAAGCCATTGGTTCTGCTTGTAAGATATAGAGAAACGGCGCTATTGGACAACCTTGTTTAATAGAGCGGGAAATTTGAAAATATTCAGAAATAAACCCGTTTGTTTGTATAGCTGTTTCCGAGCCGACTAAACACATTTGAACCCATTTTCTGAATTTGTCTCCTATACCATACCTTTTTAAGCAGATATCTAGCCAATCCCATTCTACCCTATCAAAAGCCTTAGTTTGATCTAAAAAAATTATAACACCATCTTTCTTTTCTAGATCAGTGTAATCTATTATGTCTTGTATGAGTCTGTTTGCCTCTGAAATTTGTCTACCCTTAATAAAACCTTTTTGATCTGAATGAAGCAACTTCGATAATAATGGTTTCAGTCTTTCTGCTAAGCATTTCGAAATAATTTTGTAATCGACATTTAGAAGTGTAAGTGGACGCCAATTCTTAAGATCAGACCTATCCCCGTTTTTATAAAGCAATGATAAAACACCCCTGTGTTGTGAATTTGATAAATTATAGGAACCAATAATTTCTAAAATTACTTCAAGAAAGTCGTTTTTTATTAAGTACCAAAATTTTTGATAAAATTCTGCAGTGAGGCCGTCCTCACCGGGGGATTTTGTTAGTTTAAAACCCATAATAACCTTTTCAACTTCTTCCTCCCGAAAATCTGAATCAAGGGCAAATTTCTCATCATTATTTATACTAGTAGTAATATTTGAAACCAATTTTTCTGCCGAACAGAGATCAGTTCCTTCAGAAGAAAAAAGTTTCTTGTAGAATGCACACTGTTCTTTTAAAATTGAATTTATGTCGCTTTTAAGTTTTCCAGATTCGGATTTTATTTGCGTCCATAATTTTTGCTTGCCCCTCTCTTTTTCTAAGTCGAAGAAATACTCCGAAGAGGTTTCATTTTCAGCAATGTGTTTGGCTTTTGATCTAATTTTGAGTGCTTCAAGCTCTTTCTTTGTGTATCCATTATTGACAATTTTATCGTTTCCAGTTGGATTACCTTATTATTACTACCGTATTTGAACAATTATTTTCTGGTAGCCGATTTCCGATTTGGTACTTTGTTTACTTGAAATTAATTTATTTATTGCCGATATTTGGTATTTCCAACTTAATATCTTCTCAACAGAATACACTTTTCACGGCCGGCATTTTATCAAAGTTGCTAAATAATTAAATGTGAACATTATTAGGAGGAGGAAAATACATCAGGATAGGTGACCATACGGAAGACAGGGAGTGTTTAACACAACCAATCGTTGATGTTAATTTAGACAAGGTACATCATGACCATGTTCTTCCAGGACAGTATGCCTCAATGATGCCAGGTGGGTTAAAACGGGAAACTTGATTTTATATCAGAAAAAAAGATTATTTCGTTTTTTGAAATCCTAGCTATGTTTGTGCATGTTAATCAACTATATAATCGTACAAGAACGTTTTATAATTTACTGTTCTATCTCTTGATTGTCTTTCACTTGGTAAATGTAGCATATTTTGAAGTGAAAAAAATAGAAGACGTTAACTATCAAAAATTACTTTTTTTACTCCGTTATTCTTCATGATTAATTCGCTAACTTATCACTGTTTTTCGCGGTAACTGTGGTATTGACTCTTGATTTATCTAAAAATACAAAGAAAAAACTCAACATCAATTAATTTATCAATTAAATATATGGTATCTTTAATTAGTGAACATGAGCACAGATAGCATTTGTGGTTATTACTCCATGGGCGATGAATACAAAACAGGAGGAAACAAACAACCAACTGAGACAGTTAGTATATTTTATATTTTTGCATTTGTTAAATTCTAAATTATTAATGTTATGCACTGACAGAGGTTAAGAACTAAAAACATGACAACAGTGATATTTGAAACAATGAAAATTGACATTCAAGTAAATGAGGTAAGTTGTAAGTAATGGCACAGGATCTAAGGTCCTGCAATATCAAACTTCATGCCTCACCCTCTTTTGAAGTACCTATGCTTATCGATAAACGCCTTTGTTTTTGATTTAATGATGTTTAGATAACTTTCAAGATATCATATTTATTTCGCTACTAGACAAAAGCGGAGCATCTTCACAGAGTGGAGAATTATGACGAGAAAAATGATCTAATTCAAAGCGTACTACATTCCCTTGAAAATACAGACAGTGAAAACAGAGGTACTTTTTACTGAATTCTCAAAAAAATACTGACACTTATGTTTGAAATATTTTACTTGTGTTTATTGTAACGTACATCAATCAGTTTTGGTTGTCGGCAGGCTTTTCAACCGATGGCTAGGCACTCAAGTCGACAGTTTGCGACTCTTTCCATGAATATTTCGTTATAGACCTTAGCAACGTCATCGGGTTCGAGAATGCATTTTTGAGATACAACCTTTCTGTCCAGTATAAGTATATCCAATGCCTTTTTATCTCTCGAAAAGGGGTAATAGAGTGTCTCATATGTTCTAACTTTTTTGCAAGCTCTATCTGTTTATTTGCCAATTGATTTGACATCGACTAGGCACTGTCTCCGGCTAGATTTGTATTCCCTGCATATACTGATGTCATAAAAACGTGTGTGTCAAAGTTTGTTTGTACTTCGACTACGCATTTGGTTGGCATTTCATTCTTCTCTTCCTAATCAACCCTTAATGGATGGTCATTCTTCCCTTCCTACTCAGCCCGTAATGGATGGTTATGCCCTTCAACTTTAGATTGAATTTGCCGCTGAGGTTACATTTGAAGGTAACAATATCAGTTTTTGGCTAAGCTTCGATATGTTCTAGTAACACTTAAGGTGAAGCCATCATTTCCCAGCATGGTGAACACTTGGAATGGGTAAATGAATTTTGGCTCCCCTTCGGATCTAACTTCTTCTAAGTTGATAAGTCCCTCGGTGTGGGCTGTTAGTTCTTGATATAAATGTTATTTTTGAATCCAGTTATCTAGTTCATCGCCATGTATTCTACGTCCGTTAAGTGATAAAATTGGCGGTGAAGACAAGTATTGGTAGAACTCATTGCTCTCTGAGGTCATAAAGATTTCCATCTGTTTTTTTCTGTTCTTGACCGCTACTTGGTCGTTGTGTTAGTCCTGGTCTAGCCATACCCATTAAATCGAATCATTGTTTTTTGACCCTTCGAAATTGCGGTGTATCCTATCCGGTTAACGATTTTTGTATTCTTTTGTATTACTTTTTTTATTCCTGTTTCCTAATCTAGATTGGTTAACAGTTATGAAATGTTTGCAAATATCGGCTAAATCGCACAAGTTTTCTAATTGACTACTCGAACGCATACTGGGGACCAAAAAGTATAATTCGGTAATTCCCAAACTCACCAACTTGGCAAACAATAAATAGGTGTTGAAAATTATCTATATAAAATTTAATATCTACTCTGGCATCCCTTATTTCTGTATCTGTCCATGTTGGTGTAAACACATGCACATTAGCAAATTACGATTCTCTCTGGAAACTATCTACAGGCAAAGCCGGTTCCGTTTGCTCCAGACGTAAATATCTTTGAATATGTATTACTTGTGTACACTGTGTAAGGACACAATTTTCATGCTTTTGACCAGTATTAAGACTTAAACAAAATTTTAATCTACAATCAATGTGTACATTGTCTTCGATTTTTTTCAAGCATTAATCGTTACATGTACATTATAAATAGGTGACGGTGAATCTACACATGTGCAGACACAAATATCTATAGGCGATTGTATAAGGCCAGTCGACAAAGGTTCAATTGGGACAGTTGGGCCCTTCGTCAAAATAAAGGAAACAGGAGAGATGTGTTTCCTGACTGTGAGACATATTTTTGGTCGTCTTGAGCAACCTGATAAGATGTTTATTGGTTCAAAGGTTGCCCATCGTTTAAGTATCAACACTAATGCAGGAATTGAGCGTGTATGTGGAACAGTGATAGCATCAGAATACAACGAATACATTGACGCTGCTCTTGTCAAATTATCCCGAGATCATATACCAAATAGATACAGTTTTGCAGCAGTCAATGAAGAGATGTTTCAAGCAGGTTATTCTCAATTAATATTATGTCTGAGGAAAAAGAACTAAATGTGACTTAAGCCCAGAAAATAATGAGTTAGTGATACATGCACTTTTTCATGAAACAAAATAGTTTGAATAATATGTAGTTTGTCCAGAAACAAAATTTAGTTTTAATGTATTATCTTTCTTATCATATACTCAAAACAAAAACAAACTATTTCAGATAATTGCTTATTCTAATATGGATGTTTACTTTCAGGGTCCTCTGCTCCGAAATACGCATGCATACATTCAAATTTTGAAGTTGAAAATGCGAAGCAAAACGAAATATTTCAAATGCAATTAACTAAGGTTGGGAATAAAACTGGATGGACGAAAGGTAGAATGCTCTTTACTGATGGAAAGGTTATCACGAAACCAGAAACAATTCTATATACGTACGATGAGAGAATGATTACGGAAGCTGTCCCTTATTACGGCTATATACATGCTAAAAATGAAAATGGTGATGCTTTTGCACAAAAAGAAGATGACGGATCTCCGGTTTATCTATTAGATACTAATGGTCAACTCCACTGTGTTGGAATGCTTTGTTGTCAAATGAAAAATGGAGATGAGTATTTAATTGGACAGATCGGTTTTATCTTAAAGAGCCTCGGGAAAAAAATTGGACAGACATTATGATTGATAAATTCGAACAGGTAAAATATTATAATTTGAAATGATATCATAAAAAATCAAGAATTGTAAGAGCTACGTCCCCATATGAAATATTGTTAATTTACTTTAATTTTTCAACAAATTTTCAATTCAAATTCAATACTTCATAAGTTGCAAAATTTAAATGCATTGTACACGTAAACATTAAGAAATGTTCGAATCCGCGTTTTTTTTTTGTTTTTGTTTTTTTGTTGTTGTTGTTGTTATTGTTGTGGTGTCGGTTTTTTCTTTCGAATCAATAAAATAAATATTACGTAAATGTGGATGAATGATTTACTAGTAAATTTCATACATAACAAACTGTCATATCATAATTATAGTAAATCGCCTTATTCACTACAAACATAAGTTGTCACCCCGTTCGCTTTTGTGCATTTAATGTGTATACACTATACAGAAGTTGAACATATATTAGAAAATCAAATACAAAGTTTACAAAATCTATTGACTGGTCATTTAAGAATTCAAAATCTAATTCCTTGCAGTTGAAATAATTTACTAGTTGCGGCTTTGTTAGTAACGAACCATGCACCTAACAAGGACACATTTTTTGGCAATTAATTCTTAAAGGTAATCACTAGCAATCAATCAGTCTATTTCATTTCACCAATGTACAATAGAAAATATAGTATGAATCATGAATTTCTATTGTTGTGTACAAACATCACATCTTTCTATTTGAGAAAAAGTAATATCATATGCGCGAATGTGTGAATTTGAACATGTATCAGTGTGGGAAATGCATGTTTTACAAAAGTTGGAATTTATTGTTTACTGTTCTTCTTGATACAGATACTCATTAATCTGAATTTTACAGATAGCAGACAAAATTGATCCTTATGACAAAGAACTTTACAACCATACGCTGAAGGATGGATTCGAGTATGACTCCCAAATGAGAATAAATATAATTGGTTTCTTTGCGCAAGGGAAAACGACCTTAACAAGGAGACTTTTAGGTGAACCTTTAGATAGCATTGCCTGTACAGATGGTATAGAAATTTACCCGCGGAAGTGCAAAATGCATGGAAAATTTTGGAAAACAAGTAACACAACAAACTTGTATGACGAATGTTCTCGGCGATTGGTAGATGTTACAAACAGGGAGCATACCGTCCCTTTAGAGTTTGAAGAAGAAAATGTCATTGATGCAATCATTGACACGTCAGAAGGTGGTGAGATTAGGACATTTAAAGGCGATGTTTCGAGTGAGCCAGAATCAAGCACACAAATGAATGTTGAGTGTAACAAACAGTTTAGTGAGCAGCAAAATAAGCAAGCAAACGACCCGGAAATACAGTTACAGACATTGTTTTCTAATCATTTGAGAGATGAAAAAGAAATCAATGATCAAGATGTACTATTAGCAAATATTTGGGATTTTGGTGGTCAATTCATCTATTATGCTACGCATCAAATATTTCATTCGAGGGACGCAATATATCTGCTGGTGTTTGATCTTACAAAGGATCTTGATACAATCATTATTGACTGCGACTTTCCAGATAGACAGGAGAAGATGAGAAACAGTTTATTGTTCTGGGTAAACTCGATACATGCGTTTGTTGGTGATGATGACTCGAAAGAAAACATGAAACCGACAATAATATTAGTAGGAACACACAGCGACAAGGTAAAGGGAAACGTTGACTCCAAATTCCATGAGGTTTATCAGCTGTTTGAAAATACAAAAATCAGACACCATATATATGAGAAACCATTTGCAGTTGCAAGTCTTGATAAAGCTGATGATGGAATAGACAATTTAAAGGAGACAATATATAACTTAGGCGTACAAAATGCCAAGTGCATCAAAATACCAGCAAAATGGATTCCTCTAGAGATTGCATTGCTGAATATTCGAGATGAAAAGGAAAAGCAAATTTTAGAGTTTGATGAGGTTGTGGCTTTAGATATACTCAATACTCATCCAATCGCAGATACAAATGAAATCAGGAAATTCCTCAACTACCATCATGCGAAAGGCACAATTATCTTCTTTGATGAAGATGGCCTTGACAAGTATATTGTCCTGAACCCGCAATTTATGATAAATGCATTTAGGTGCATTATTTCTGCCAAATGGTTTTGTAGGTGGAACCACACTGTTCAGATAAATGCGAAGAAGTTGAATCGAGAGGCTATTCTAGAACCAGAGTTTTTAGATGCTGTTTGGAAAGAAGATCAGTTTATCAATTTCAAAAAGATTTTGCTTATGTTTCTAGAGAAACATCGGATACTTGCTGAATTAAGGCAAATGGATGAACAAACTGGCAGTATCCAACTTCTAGGAAAATACATGATACCAAGTCTACTTAAGCCTGAGCTTTCACGACATGAAACAAATGACTTTTTACAACATAAAAAATACACAAGAGTCATTCTTGGGCTTGAACTAGAAGGATTAATATCTACCACAGTCTTTGAAAAATGTACGGCGGCTTTGCTTGGCAAATGGCCCCCTATTGAATACAACGATCAAGTCCTTGTTTCACAACGTGAAGGACTGTATCGTCTTGATCTACAACACGCCGGGTTAATACAAAAGTCGGGTGAAAACATAGAACTGATGGTTATAAACCTTTGTCCCCCTGAACACCCACAAAGTACAACGTCTGATCGTTTTCGTCGATATGTAGAGATGGTTCTCACATTTGAGAAACGTAAAAATCATTTACGTCAACAAGGAGATGTAAAACCTTACCGACATTATTTCAAATGTAATGACTCTAAGCATGAAGGCCGTGGAAGTCACAATGTTCACTTTTTAGATGAAATCAGAAATGAACCGAAGGTATGTTGTCCAGATAATAGAAGTCATCCGATATATGTACAGGAGGCTATTGCAGAATGGTTCCAAGGAGAAGGCATCACGGATTTTGAAACCAGTATTATACGAAAAGCGTCGAAAAACGACAAATTGGTTTCGAGAGTGGCACGAGAGTTTGGAATTAATTGGAAAATGTTTGGAATCGCTATAGGTCTGTCATTTGAAGATTTAAAGTCAATCAGTGACGAATGTGATCAAGTAAAAGAGTTAAAAATTCTAATAATTGCGATGTTCAATGTATGGAAAGAAAAATATCCGGATGATTCCGACTACATGCATGAAAGAGAAAACCAAATCGAAAATAACACCGGTATTAATGTGGACTGGGACAAAGTGCGAAATTGCTTTGACGCTGGTTAGAGTTGTTTGCAAGATAAACAGGTGAATATATCAAATTTTACATCAGTCGTAACTATTTAATTGATTTACATCATACACATTGAACAAGTATTTTTCATCTAAAAAAAACACTTTGTCAGACATGCTGACACAAAAGTCGGTATCTTACAATGATTGATACAGATATTCATATTACTCAGTTTTAAATCATACCACCGCAAATACCGCTTAGAAGGGGGCTTGCAAGATGTTGCATTTTTCCATTATCTCTTATGAGTTAATCAAACCTAGTCCACTATTGTCATGTCAATTTATTATTTATCAATTTATATCTTAATTAATTAATTTATTTGTTTACTTATTTATTTACTTGCGGAGGGATTCCCCGTCCAGATTGATTTAACTAGTATGAGCTGACCGTTATCATTTAAGGAAATGTTTTCTTGCTTTATAATTAAAATATGTATTCAGTTATTTACAACTTAATAATTTCTATTTCAGCGGTTCATCACGTGCGATGCTGGTTAGTCCTTTGGGAGCATTCTGCCTTTCATTGATACGAGTATAAAGTAACTCTTCAATTCAAGCAAATGACCAGAGTAATTTGTAAAATGTATTTTCCCTTAAACATGTTTAATTGTATCAATTTTTTTGCAAGCAAATATCAGCAAAATAGTTTTAATGTCCATTATGAGTGTTTCAAGGTTAAAATTATTTTTTAATAAAATGGTTATTGAAAATGCACTTGCAAAGTGAAAAATATAAAACAAAACAATTTTTATGTATGATATGACGTTATTCTTCATTATTGATTACAATACTGAATTCTAATTAGCACCTCGTCCAGTATTATGTTTGACAGCTGTGTACATGTGTACAGGTCCAATAGAATCAGTATCGAGTTCAACAATGAGTAATACTATTTCAATATCACGCGACAATTTTTTTGTACATTTTGACAAAACTTTGTTACTTTTAGTTCATAGTTTAAATTCATTGGAAATTCATTTGCTATATTTCATGAGGTTTGAGAGCCAAGATGTGCGTATTAATAATGTATCACTTACAGTATAAATATGCTTGTTTGGCATGTTATTTCTAACTTTATACACCACTTTCAAACACATGTGCTTTGTGTATATAGAACATAATTTTAAACTTATTGCACATTATGTATTTAATGCTAAATTTTAATGTAATTGTTGCAATATAAACATATCATACACACATGCATGCGTGTATTGTTAATTCTTGATTGAAACTCCCCATGTAAATATAGGTTTTTGTTTTTATTTTTCATATCTATTTTCTTTTGATGTACAGAATTGTCATTATATTTATCATAGTTTGGGATGTACAGGAAAAATGCTTAGCGTTTTGTAGTACAAGATAAAAAGACAGAGGAACGTTTTTAACTTCAATATGTTCAAAACTTATACAGAGAATTATTTAAGTACATTTGAATGTTTACTGTTGAAAATGGAATACCGCTTAACATTATCTGTCGTGAAAAATAAAAAAAACTCATTCAAACCGAGTCTGCATTTTTATATAGTATTATTGTGTCATTGTTTCGGATGGATCACCTTTTTCCAGACTTTTATTAAAAGGAAAAATTCGAGGATATTTAAACGGAGTCAACGCGCGGACATTGTTTTGGTGTTCAAATAACTACGAAAATAATTGCTGATGAACCTCAATTGTTGCCGATTGCCGTAACGTGACAATACATATTGACGATTACAAGTGTGTGTACCGAACACATTAAGAAATATAGAATGTTTCAAGAAAATTTTATTTAATGTATGTATCAATGTTATACTGTGCAGAAGACAGCTAAATGTGCTAGTAATTAATAATCAACTGACAACAATAATACATAGCACTTATACCATTATCATTTCTGGAACATATATAACTGTAACACTGAAACATCTTTAATATATTGTTGAATGGTGTATTTGCGATATCAAAACAAATTGAGTACGTATGCTGTACATTAATAATAAATAAAGATTGCCCCAAGAAATGTTCGATGATTATTTTTTAAATTATGAAGTATATAGTTGTACTGACCACTGAATGAGTTGTACTGACCACTGAATGAAATTCCTTATCCTAATCCTATATAACCTTAACCTGTCTAATTCAAATTAAAGTAGTGCATTACAATAGGAATTTCACCGGAACATTTTGTTATGTCAATGTTTCTGGTTGCATTTATTGTTATACAAATAAAATGTCAGAGTAGGGGGATTCGATACTAATCAACACTGGTTTATCATGTGACTGTATAATATTACATTAAATGTAAATGTATGAATTTTGTAAATATGTAACGGTGATGTACTTTAGGACAACTTTAATGAAATATGTTCTGTTCTGTTCCTAACGAAATTAAAAACAAACATTGACAGAGAGTGATTTTTTTTCAATATCAATTTAGCTTTCTTCACCTCTAAGATGGAGTTATATAGTTTATTTGCATTATGGAAAACAATTTAAATGTTCACGTATTTGTCTGTTGTAAGTTTATTTAACACATACATATATAACGATATACTCTGTTTTGTTTATATCATACTACAGAATAACCATTAAATTTTTTATCATTTTCTTTTTTATGTAAGGGATACCTCAGTGTTAGATTTGGAACGTTCGAAATATACAAAAATTATTGCATTTTTTTATAGAAGTATGGCTTTGTTTTGTACGCGTATACATAGTTTACAGTTTGCCACTATTGTGATATTGTATTAATTAACAGTGATGCATAATATTCTATTGTAATGAACATAGACAAAAGGTCTATCGGATTATAGTACATAATCAAATTATACAATGTTAAAGCTTTAGGAAGAAGTATCTGAATTTAGCGTTTAGTTGTATACACGGTATTGTATTTACCTTGTAAACTTATGTAACTTTGAATCTTTATGTCTCCAGATAAACCAAAATATTTCAAGAAAGTCAACAACAAAAATGTACAAATATTCATGATTTACACATGATTTAAGAAATAATCTACAACTTATATCCAGTTAATGTCTGATTTTGTAGAATTAAACACCATATTTCTTCTTCATGGGTAACGCTGTAACGGCTATATTTGCACATTTTTACCTATTATTGGTATTTTTCGCAGATTTGTGCCGTTTATAATGTGTAAGTTCTTTTCATTTGTAAGTTCTTTTCATTGTACACTTCACAATATTCTACTTTCTAATCCTTTAAAAAATCATAAACATTAACACGAATATAAAGGCATGCTGCTTTAAAACGTTTTACAGCAATACCTTCCTCTTCACTTTATTGTAAAGAAGTTGTCAGTTGAAAATCAGTTGTTTGCTTTTTGCATTAGCTATGCATTGTATATTATGTAGTTACATATTTAAACCGGATATAGAATTATGTGTGACCTCAAGTTTTTAATTGTTTTGGTGCAGGTGTATTAATGTATTTAATGAATCTTTATATTTTCTATTCAAGCTTGAATGTAATTGACTGTTCGAAAGTAAATATTTTTGTTTTTTTGTAATGTCGTAGAATATATTCTAGTGGTGTAAATTATGTAATTACATTTTTTCCGATGAGATGGTTCCTTTATCCAAATTCTTTAGTACATTTTATTTATCTAACCCATTACCCGATATACACGCCTTCTAACGCCTTTTTCACTCCCCTCCCCCTTTTTTTGTTGTCTCAAATGGTGAAAAAAATGCCTTATTAAGGCCACCAACACTGGGTTTTAGTTTGAGAAATGTTGTTTTAAAAAGTGACTACTTTTTCGGCGCGGCCCGCAACCAAAATATACATCAGGGGGTTGCCAGAAGGGGGATGTGCCTCTTTCTGTCTGTGGGGTTTGAAGGGGGCGGCAATCCCCCTCATCGCAAAGAAAATATTGGACTTGTCAGAGGATAAAAATGACCCGAGATCGATCATAAGGTAACGTGTTACCAACGGCGGTTAAAAGCATTTGACTCTATCTCAATCCATCGCGAAGTTGCAACACTTTGAAATCAATTTTGATGGAAAAAAATCAACGCAAAATAGTGATTTTTTGCAATTTTGAGATGTCCCCTCGTTGCCATAGTAACAGGAAATTCAAGCCTTGGCATGTTGTTACAAAGGCAATGGTCCGGTCAACATTTGTGCCACGTTTGATATTGAAGCAGTTTTTATAGTTTTATAGCAATTTGAACTTGTAACGGGAGACTTTCAATGTTTCACCAAATGCTCATGAAGCAATGGGTTAATCGGTACCAACATGTCATTAAATACTATCCTGTTGAGTCAGCGAACCATCTTTCACTGTGTAAATGATTCATTCCATCATTTCAGTTACTAAGTAGATAAGTATTTGTTAAGTTAGCATTAATTTCATTTAATATGAAGCTCATCTGTGCCGCGTAAGAGATTTAATTGTATTAATGCGTACTAACAAACACTAAGCTATAGTACCAAATGTTAAAAGTTACTTTTTCAATTAAATCGTTTAACTGAAAATGTGCTTTGTGCTGTTTGAACATGTAAAACAGTATTCTTAAAGTGTCTATAGTAATCTTATGTTCATTCAAAGACAAACAATTTATATGACACATCTACGTTTTACTATATCATTAATAACGTTAGAAATAAAAAAAAAATATTTTAACATATAAAGATTAGAAACATTGTTGATATCTTAGCCCTATAAATCAAGATTGCAAAGTTTTGTCTTGATAATGGCATAAAACGCTCAAATTTGATTTTACTACACGGTATTTTTGTAAATATGAATTAAATACGTTTTGACTTCTCACAAAGTAGATATGTTATGCTTTAAATTCTTCACACTTAAGTGGACACACTATGATTATATTGTAAAGTGTCATTAAAAATACTGGACTTTTTTAAAGAAATTACCAGCTTTACTTGGTGATAAGGGGACACAGATTCCCATACATAGTCTGTGCGTTCTTTTTTTAATAAGACATCTTTAGTAAGAATTTTATAGATTTCAATAAATTTCTGCAGTAAAAATATTTTTCTCAAATATGAGCATAGTATATCTTTAAAATTGTTGCCATTGCACAAATATCATAAAAAAATACTGGAAGTATACAAATCTATGTTCGTAAACAATCCAGTTACAACTATGTGAAGTAATATTTATAGCATTCCATTATTTGTAAAACTGTTTATAATGATTTATTGTAATAATAAACAAATCATTAAAATATGTGAGTAGTTTAGTCTTTCACTTGCATGGTTGTTAAGTAAATTTTGTAATACATGTCCCATACAGGAATTATTTCAATTCGATTGTGAAAGAAGCTTAAAGTCATACTTGAAATCTGTTCCTAAATTATATCAATACTAAGCATTTCAAGGAAATCACGGCTTGTCCATGTAGGACTTTGAACTCACGCGATCAACAAACTTTAGATTCATGGTCCGACGTTAATCTCTCGGCTACTGAAGATTAGTAAAAAATTATTGTCATTGGACGAAAAAGTAGATCGCGACTTAAATACATCAATTTCAGCTTTATATTAAATTGTACCTGTATATTTTAGTAAATGTGATGGACGTACTCAATGAGTTTAAACGCTTTCTTCGTGTATTTATAAAACAAATGTCACAAACAATTTCAAAAGCATAGCTGACACATTCATTTAACATAAATACTCTCGTTTTGTTAAAATTCATCTTGTTAAGGATTTAAAGTGAATGATACCATTCGTTTATAGTTTTAGTAGAACAGTTGAAACAAAGAGAGATAGCTCTGCAATTCGTTGTAACATTTCCATTTTTGTTACTTCCCTTGAACAGAACATGCAATAGGTTTAACGTGACCTGATAGGCATTCTATCGACTAATCTCCGCCATATATAGTTCTTCATAACAATAGCTAGTCATTACCAAGGGCATTTCGTTTCTGGCCAATCTTTGCTTGTAATCTCAACAATGTGGGTTCAATTCCAAGGTTTGTCAATAAAATTACTAATCAGTCTTCCGGATGAGACTATGGGTGCTTAAACACTTGGCACGTTAAAAAACCAGGAGAAAGTTCTGGAATTGGTGCATCTTTCTGTATCTTGCACTATCCTCCAAAATCTCAAATGACTAATACTCTTCTGGAGGACTCGTCCATATGGGCAACCGGTGGCGGGTATACATAAACTCAAATACACAATGTCATATTTTTTCTATATGTCCTCTAAAATATGTGTGTAGCTCCGTTTAAACCTTAACTAGATATAGTAACTTTTGAAATTTTCATAGATTTTTACAACTTGAAGTCAAAGCTATCTTTATTTTCAATGGAATATGGTTGTGAGAAATAAAATTTCCAACCGTTTTTTAAATACATTTATGATTCTTCAAACCTCGCTATTGACTAAAAGTGCAAGATTTTCTCTAAGAGTCGAAGTATTGTATGAAATAGCGTCTAAGAAACGCCTGAAGCTTATGGGAGTGACGTCAATTGGCCTTCCATTGCTTATTCATTGTGATTGAACTCATGTCATATATGTACTGTTTTTATAAAAGTTTTTATTTTTGTATTTTCTGATCGCAAGATCAGTAAATACAAAGCGAACATCCACGGTCTCACACAAAATTTCCTTACAGACCTAACAACGCAAAGTAGTTCTCACTCAAAACTGCTTAAAAACCAGCAATTTAAAAGAAAGAATTATTTTAATGTAGGCATTTAACGAATTACAGTGCATTAAAAGTTTAGATTAGTCAATAGAAATATGACGTTACAATCACAAATTTCGCGGATGAATATCTTTTTTACCCAATGAAAAATGTTCGGCTATTTCCGTAAAGCTTCGGATTAGGCTATCATGAATGCACAATCACAAATCACGCGGATGAATATCATTTTAATCAATGAAAATGCTATTTTTAGCTATGTCGATTACCGAATGCTCCAGAGCGTAGTACACAAATAAATCTGACTGTCGAGTAGTGGAATATATACATGTCGGACTGTTTTGGCGAGAAGATTTTCGCTAAATTATTTTCATCAGTGTTAAACAACAGGTTTATTGTGAACAAAATACCTCGAAATTAATAAGGATTACAATTCTAAATTTAGAATTACAATGTATTCGTTTTATTCAAGGTACATACGTATTACTTCACCGTGGTGCAGAGGTAGCACGCTCGTTTGGGGTGTGAGAGGCCTAAGGTTCAAATCCTAGTCGAGGCAATTTTATTTTTATTGAAGTGTCTTTTTAAGGAAGTAGCCACGATATGCAAGGATAAAGTGTGGATGTCATAAAAAATGAAAAATGATTTTTTGATGCAACTCTAGTCATGCAAAATTCCATATGTATCAATCTCAAACTGTTATAGAAAAAAAATCTAAACGCAGTCGCTGCGTAAGATAAATTATAGTATATAAAAATAAACTTATACAGGAAAATACATACAGATAGTCAGTATGATTTAGATTGCAAAGATCAGAAAATACCATAGAGCTTGCAGCCCTTTGATTGGTTATGGTGTTATGACTTTCCAGCTTTAGTAGTGGATGAAGATCTCAGATGCCTCTCAATTCGTTATTTCAGGCACGAACGGGCACACCAGTAGTACCTCCGGCGTTCATAAGGATTTATATATTGTTTTAATTTTATCTTCGATACGCTAGATACACAATCTAAAAGATCATTTATATGAACAAGAGCGATCAGTAATCACATGTGTCGCCTCATGATGGCCAATTTCATGTTGGGACAAAGTTTGTGACAGACGGACAGACAGACGGACAGTGCACAACTAGACATGGTACTGATCATTCCTGTAAAGTTTGGATAAAATTGCACCAGTAGTTTATGAGGAGTAGTCCGGACAAGCTTTTGCGTATCTGGCAACACACAGAAAAAACACCTTTTTATCAAAGGGCCATAACTCAACCAAAAATTATTCAACCGGAAAACCCGTGCAATATGCGCAAGGACTTGAGCTACAGATCAATCCTGTAAAGTTTCATTGAAATTGCTTTAGTGGTATAAGAGAAGTAGTCCGGACAAACTTTTAAAATAAAAATTATTAAAGGGCCATAACTCTGACAAAAATCATTGAACCGGAAAATGCTGACAATATGCACAACTAGACTTGGTACTGATCATTCCTGTAAAGTTTGGATGAAATTGCACCAGTAGTTTATGAGGAGTAGTCCGAACAAGTTTTGTGACGGACAGACGGACAGACAGACAGACGACGGAGAAGTGATCCCTATATGTCGCCACTACTCCGTAGAGGCGACACAAAAATGCCTTGTAATACTGTAGGTACTTTGTACGTTTTCATATCATAGAACAATTTAACTTTTTTAAATATTTTATTGAAACTCAACAAATAAAAAAACTCAAATATAAAAGTTTTTAACTTTAACAATATTTTCATAATGTAAATCATACTTTTACAAAAACACAAACATCTCAAATAATTTAAATCACATGTTCAACTTAAACAATGCTATAATGTTAGAATGAATGAGTAAATTATGCTTACAACCTGGTTTTATTCTCGCCTACACATATACACACCGCTTAATTAGAGCTAGACTATTTCAATACCTTGGACTATGTGAGAAATGGCATAACCATTGAAGAAAAAGAATCAAATTATTCTGTAAGGTCTTACCCTCAAAATAACCATCTAACTTTTTCAATAAACATAAAACAACAGGGTGGTCAATTCAAAGGCAATTAATTAAAGCACCAAAGCACTGACTTCCATTTTTCTACTTTATAAAGCAAACAAAACCATCCGTGAGGAAAGTGGGTGGGCTGCATGGTGACCCAGAGATAATTTGCTTGAAAAGATCATAATTCTTAAAACAAATGAGTAATTTATAAGGTCACATTGACTGGGCTAGTCATTTTTAATCCTAGCTGCTTAATCTTAATAATATTTCTTACCATCAATTTTGATGATTATGTTGTATAATATTATAAACTTAATGAACCCAAGGGCAGAGCCAATTTTGACATTTATGGCAGACACTAGGACATCTTGAAAAACAAACACTAGGACACAACAGTATGGAAAATAAACACTATAACATGAAAATTGAGATCTTTTCAGCACATACTTGAACACAGGCAAGATTTGGCAAAAGATATACTCAAGTCTTACACACTGTAAAGTTTAAATCTTACAGAAAAAAACAAACAAATCAAAACAGAAAAATAAAACAGAAGTTTAAATTAACTTTACACAAAATAATGTACAGGATTAGGTAACTATGTCTTTTTATTACATGCTTTTTGGTGGATTATAGAAATATATCAGTGATTTATAAACTGGTAATTTCACTGTTTGAAACAGTGAAATTATCAATTTGATAATTTCACTGTTTTGAATTTAAGCCCGATACGTTGTCTCAGTGAAATACCAGCGTGCACAGCACTGGAAACCAGCTTAATGACGTGACGTTGTAAATGACGACATGTTGTATTAAAATTTGGCGCGCTTTTCATTTAGTACCATGATAAAATGTCTTTTTAAAGGTTTCATAGCATGTAATAAAAAGAAAATTTGTTAAGTTTAGCGCAAGATTGAAATATATTTGACCTCGTGAACACCAAAAGTTCATATTTCACTCGTGCCTGCGCCACTCGTGAAATATACCTTTTGGTGCTCACTCGGTAAAATATATTCCGATCTTACACTGAACTTAAAAAATATCCTCTTTATATTTTGAAAAAATAAACAGAAAAATAAAATTTAAATGAATATACATGAACACAGTCTGGCAACATCATCTAAAAAGGTGAAAAGGTCACTTTGAATAACATAATATTTCCACCTTGGTTGAAAAAAGTAAACAAATATTAATCATGCAATAGTTCTATCTTTCCAAACAAAAAGCAAAATCTAAATTTAAAAATCCTGAGGTAGATCAATTTTATCTATATAATTCATTAACAAACTGTTAAAGCAGAAGCTTCCCGATTTGTCCTCTTTTTTATAAAAAATTACAAAATTGTTCTCAGTAGAAAATGTTGTCAAGTGTTAATTTAAAGGAAGTTAACCTAAGTCTAATGCACTAACTATCCACATAAGTTAAGTTCAAAATATTCAAAAATCTTTTTCTAACTCAATTAGTTCCAGGATATCATGAATATTGGTAACAAGAGGGCCATGATGCTCTATATTGCTCACCTTACTATAAAGGCTCAAAATAACAGAAGACTGATGATACTGATAACTATTGATAAAAGACAGGCATTATGGAAATCTATGTCAACTAAGTTCAAATCTGCATCTGGAAATGAGCATGCAATTGAAATTTTATACATAAAACTAACTACAAAATGTAGGTCACTTGATCAAGATGCTTCATGCCAAACATCTAAGCTCTTGGCAATGTAGTTTCTGAGTAGTAATATTCTAAATTTCAACATAACAATTCTATATAAATTATTTTTTTAATTATTTTAAATTCTACTTTTGTAGAGGTCAACTTTGAAATACTACATGCTAAATATTTAAACTAGGCATTCAATGCAGTTTCATAAAAAACTTATAATTTATTTTCCTATATAGAAATCCTATGTAAACTACGTGACCTCTAGGGTGGGTCATTTTTTACCTCAGGGGCATGATTAATACTTATTTAAAAGAACGCAAGGTGATGCTACATGTAAAATATCTTAGCTCTGGGCAATGTAGTTTTTCGAAAAAGATTTTTTAAGATTTCATTTTTAATTTAAGTCAATTTTTAGCTCCTGTGACCTAATTACCGCACTGGAACCATTTATATAACTTTTGAAGAGGACAACATAAAATCATTCTTGTGAAGTTTGGTTAAAATCCATCAAGTGGTTTAGGAGATGTTGTGGATGACGGACACACTGCCCTCAATCAGGTGCACTGGAACCATTTATATAACTTTTGAAGAGGACAACATAAAATCATTCTTGTGAAGTTTGGTTAAAATCCATCAAGTGGTTTAGGAGATGTTGTGGATGACGGACACACTGCCCTCAATCAGGTGAGCTTAAAGTAAAATTGTTTGTGTATTATTTTTTGCAATTCATCATCATTTCATAAATTTATGATGATTTTTAATAGCAAAGGGTCTCCTCCCACTTATATCACGTACACAAGTATGTAAATAAATGTCACGTTATTTTTTTTTAAAACTGGAAATTAATATATAATGTTGCTCATCATCATAATACAAGACCTATGCTCCATTCATAATGAATAAAAAAAAGTCTTGTAAAAGATATAATGACAGTAACCATAAAAGCAAATCTATAATCATTGACATTCTTGAAATAGTAAATTTAAAACCCGAGCATCCATATTCAATGACAGGTATTACTTTATATACCACTTATCTATAAAAAAAATGCTTTGCTGCATTATTTTAATGTAATATTAAAAGTATTATCTCATACAACTAGATTCAATGTTAGATATTACTTATATCTATAAATTCTTTTGCAAATGTAACCAACTTGTTGTAAACTATAAAACCCCTTTATATACAGTTTTTTGTATTGTTTTGTTTTTTAAACTTAACAACAACCATTTAAACAAATCTCAGAATATCTCAACACTTAATTCCATTCAAAACACTCTTTCAAAGTTCTGATCCATATTCTGCGGTACTTTTTGAGCAACTGGACGTCCCTGTTGATTTCGTCGAGGGGGTGCCAGGAACTCAAACATTGACGTTGAATGCTGGGATAGCATGCGGGTAAGCTCTTGTGGAGCAGGGTCCTCGTAGAAGAAATCATGCATCAAACATCCATCAGCATCTAGTCTTTTAGATGGGTCAAGCGTCAGCATTTTATCTAGAAGGTCTAGAGCAAATTGATCTTTGACATATGGCTTTAATCGTTCTTTGACCTTTCTCTTGTGACCTTGGGGAATTTCAATTTGAGTAAACATATCGAGTTTATCACAGCCTGGCCACACGTCAGTTTTTATAGAGCCGCACAACTGACTGATCAGATGTAACTGGTGTTGTTCATTTCGTCCCTGCATGATTGGTGTTCGTGTCCACATCTCCGCCATTATACATCCAGCACCCCAAATATCAATAGCCGGCCCATAATTCCTTTCTCCTAGCAACAACTCAGGTGGGCGGTACCACAATGTCACTACCCTGTTTGTGTACTTCTGGATATGATCTAACGCCCGTGCCAGCCCGAAATCTGCCAGTTTTAATATCCCTCCCTTCGTGATGAGAATATTCGCAGCTTTGATATCTCGGTGTAAGATCTTATTGGTATGAAGATAATACAGACCTTCCAGTAACTGTTTGATGACATACTTTATCTCTCCTAGATTGAACTTGACATTCATGTTGCTTAGTAACCCAGCAAGATCGTGTTCACAGAACTCAAATATCAGGTAGAAAGTACTTTTAAATCGGTTGTACTGGCTAGCTGAAGAATATAACAAAATATACATGTATTAGAAAAATTAATAAGTTAATGACTTCAACACATTTTATTTACAAAAACACTTTGTACATGAAATTCAAATAAAAAAGAAATGATATCAGAAGGTTTGAAAATTATTTTTAACTTTAGTACGGCTGTTAAACAATTACATGTACTAGGATATTCTGATATTTGCATTTCAGACTGTGACCTCTTTTATAAAAAACTTTAATTTTTAAAATGAACAGACCTACCCTGGGCATAATGATATAATTTAACACATCAATATGATACACTTATGTCAATTTTGTATAAAGCAGGTCAGAATTTCACAGGTCCAGAGTAGATAGATTTCATGGAAAAGTTGCAATTTTTATATACAGTAATAATACCCAAAAGTAATAATTAAACACATGTATGAAAGGTATTTAGAAATGCCATTTTGGCAAAAAGTACGATGCCCATTTTGGGAAATTTTGCTTTGTAAAATTGCTAAATTGGAAAAAAATATATATTCAGTACATTTTGAAACCTTATTCATCTTTAATTTTTTACACGGTATTTTGAATTGTGCAAAAATGTTTATTCCAACCAATGCAAATATCATTATAAGCATAAAGATACATTAAAATTTGTAGAATCATCTGTCGGATAACATACTGAAATGAACTCCAGCAAATTTGTCAGTTTTGATATTGAGAATTTCAGTTGGATTGGGAATAATATTTTAAATATTAGGGAAAAAAAAGCAAATTTGCCAATGGAAATGGATCTGGTAATCTGACCTGTGGTGAAACTGGGAAAAGGCATGTGAAATATTTGACACAACTTGTTATATATGTACCTTTAGTTCTGCATATTTCAATAAGGTTGACAACATTTTCATGCTTCAGTAACTTCAGAATACGAATTTCTCGAAGTGCTGTGATTGGAAACTGAAATACAAATGAAATACATACAAATTATATATGATTTCATACATATAAAAATCCAAGTCATTTAAATCTGGTATTTTAACAACCATTCTAGTCAACAGTGTAAAAGGCACTCCACTGAGGTCCAAAAGCCCAAAACCATAAAATTTGAATTTCTTACATAGATCTGCTGCCCACTTTAAACAGAAAGCAAAAGAACATTAATCTTGAAAAATTATTTCCAGTCCTGTCATGTCAAAAATCCCGAGTGGAGTCCCTTTACTGTATTAAAACATGCCTATTTTGACAACTTCAGAAGTGATAGGTCCATTATATATATGTAAGATGGCATCAGGTCATTCTAAAATTGGTACAAAGATTTTAAGACCTGTAACTGGCAAGGTTTTATAATTATAAAATTGGTCTGGAATATAAATAAATCCACAAAAAAATTATATTTACAAATCTTTAGTATATTAACTTTTCATTTTTACTTAACAAAAGCTGTCATATGACAGGGTGCTCAACTATTATCAGTACTACTGATGGTAAAACAAGAACCTAAATATTGTAGAATTATTTTTTAACTCTAAAAAGTCCATAATTCTAGATCTGTCGAAATTCATGTTAGATTTATATAGGATGTTATATTTTGACCTATTCATGGTCTCAAATCAGTGTGTAAAGCTTTAGTAGTTTTTGAAAGCAAAGCCAAAGTGTGAATACTAACAAAGGGAGGAGTACAATTTAGCTCTCCCTATTCTTCAAATGAAACAAGTCTACAGCAGACAAAAAATTGTTGATGCATCGATGCATATTGAGGCACACAAATACAATAATGGACATATGACACAAAAGCGCACTATACCTAGAAAGAGGTCTTATGGGCTAATTTAGATTTAAATGAAATTAAATTCTCATCAAAATTTTAAAACAATCACATTCTGTCTCTCTCAGACTGATGAGCATTGCATTAATGAAAACACAAAGCTTTTGATCTGCATTAAAAAAAGTTTGCCTGTGATGATAAAATCAAAGTTAATACCCCTTCCTTCTCATTTTCCATCAGGACTTTCTTCATAGCCACCACTTGTCTGTTAGCTCTATCTCTCGCTTTAAAAACCTCCCTGACATAGAAATAAATCACTAATACTTGAATTAGGAAAATTAATAGATTTTAATTTAAAAATAAAAAAATTAACAAGAGCGATCAGTAATCACATGTGTCGCCTCATGATGGCCAATTTCATGTTGGGACAAGTTTTGTGACAGACAGACGGACAGTGCACAACTAGACTTGGTACTGATCATTCCTGTAAAGTTTGGATAAAATTGCACCAGTAGCTTATGAGGAGTAGTCCGGACAAGCTTTTGCGTATCTGGCAACACACAGAAAAAAACACCTTTTTATCGAAGGGCCATAACTCGGCCAAAAATCATTCAACCAGAAAACCCGTATAATATGCGCAAGGACTTGAGCTACAGATCAATCCTGTAAAGTTTCATTGACTTTGCATTAGTGGTATAAGAGAAGTAGTCCGGACAAACTTTAAAAAAAATATTATTAAAGGGCCATAACTCTGACAAAAATCATTGAACCGTAAAATGCTGACAGTATGCACAACTAAACTTGGTACTGATCATTCCTGTAAAGTTTGGATGAAATTGCACCAGTAGTTTATGAGGAGTAGTCCGGACAAGCTTTTGCGTATCTGGCAACACACAGAAAAAAACACCTTTTTATCAAAGGGCCATAACTCGGCCAAAAATCATTCAACCGAAAAACCCGTGCAATATGCGCAAGGACTTGAAAATAAGAAGAGAATTTGTGGAAATATGTTGATCTAACATCATATTTCAGTAGCTTCATTTCCATTTTTATTTTATCTGTTTAAATGTCACTGTGGCCATATAGATGTATAGTAATGGTCGAAACAATGATTTATTCAAATCATGCAAAATTACATGTATGTACATTATTATCACTGAAAGAAACTCCACCTCATTCTAATTAACCCATAACCAGGGGTTAATCAGTATATACTGACAGACAAACATGCACATTGGCGCACTCACTGTCTAACCAGGCTCTATACTGTTGACTGACTAACTCAACATTTTTGTCTTCCAAACACTGATAATATACTGTTCCAAAAATTGAAACAGGACCAGTCTTTTTCAGAAATTCAGCAGGTTAATGCTAAAAAAAACAATTTTAAAAGAACTGGTATATTTCGTCTGTGATGCCCCTAATATAAGCCTCATTTTCATTTTTCTTTTAAATCAAAACTCACAATTTGTCCAGACAGGGCAGCTGTAACAAACAGTTTGTTATGAAAACCCTTGTGATAGTAGTACTGTAGTCATGTTCTGTAATTCTGGGAAAGCCATAATAGACCATCAATTCTAAAGGACTTGGTGAGATACTTTTGACCATAACAAACAAGGAAATAATCCTTGGCATCCACTTCACTCATAAATACATATTTTTCAGAAAAAAACAAGAGCGCAGCATGCAGTCTGTTAACACTTGTAACCACTTTTGATAAAGATTCTAAGTTAAACAAGAGGACCATGAGGGCCCTTTTATTGCTCACCTAGCTTAGAAAACACTGTTTGCTGAAAAGTCAATTGTTGCCATAGAAAGTCAATAATTGCTATTAAAATCATTCAACCAGAAAACCCATGTAATATGTGCATGTACTTGAGCTACAGATCAATCCTGTAAAGTTTAAATGAAATTGCATTAGTGGTATAAGAGGAGTAGTCCAGACAAACTTTAACAATAAAGATCATTAAAGGGTCATAACTCTGACAAAAATCAATGAACCAGAAAATGTCATGCACAACTAGACTTGACACTGATCATTCCTACGTACAGTTGGATCAAATTGCACCAGTAGTTTTTGAGGAGAAGTCTGGACACTGAGCTTTGTGACAAACGGACAGACAGATGGATTTGCTCAAAGTTTGGTATTTAAGTGGCTACTCTTTCGTTCTCTTTTTATTTTCTTTAGCCAAGAAAAGAGAAAAAGTAGCCACATAGAGCTTACTGAATGTATATAGCATCAAATTGTTCCCACAGCCCCAGTATATATATGTTTGTATGGACAGTGGGACAAACAGACAAAACGGAAGTGATCACTATATGTCACCACTACTCTGTAGAGGCAACACAAAAATGAATGTTTTATACTTTCTTATAAATTTGTACGAAAAAAGGTAATGAAAACTGCCCGATAGTGCCTAAAAGCATGAAAGTCAATAATCGGCCATAATTGATTAACAGTTTAATTACCAAATTTGGTTATTTTATTGACTTAAATTTCTGTAAATACAAAAAAAAATATTTTTAAAGATTGTTATTATTTGTATATCACATTGTAAAAGGTTTAATAAGAATTTTGTTCTTGATCTTATAGGGGGAATTTTATTAGGGGAGTGTAATAGGAATGTTACTGTAAGCGGTTCAAACTGACGTTTTTTTATTTAATTCTTATATGATTTTCTAAACATGGACACAAGTCTTAATTCTTAAAATAGATCTGCCACTTAACCTTTTCTCTCATATAGATGTTTTTTGATGGCTTTTTGCCCCCCATCCCCCCCCCCCCCTTTATTTAGGCCCCAAACACTGTTTATTGTTTAAAAAATGTTGTAAAAAAAAAAAGTGACCACTCTTTCGGCGCCGCCCCCATCCAAATGTTACATCAGGGGGTTGCCAGAAGGGGGATGTGCCCCCTTCTGTTTGGGGGGTTTGAAGGGGGTGGCAGTCCCCCTCATCACCAAGAAAATTTTGGACATCTGATAGGCTAAAAATGGACTCAGGTCAATCTCAGGGTAACTAGTAACAGACGCTGAAAAGCCTTTTACCTATCTCAATTCATTGAGAAGTTGCAACACTTTGCAATCAGTTTTGATGGAAAAAAACAATGCAAAATAATGGTTTTTGGTAATTTTGAGACGTTCCCCGTTGCTATGGTAACAGGAATTTTACGCACAGAGGCTATGGTCTAGTCAACATTTGTGCCAAGTTTCATCAGTATTGAAGCATGTTTCATAGCAGTTTGAACATGTTACAATAGGCTTTTCAATGAAAACGGCCATTTTTCGCAATATACATGGGGTAAAATTAGGTTAAGATTACATGTATGTCACAAATACCACGTTACACTGCCTGGTTTTATGTATCATATTGTATAGCAAAACATAATGGCTTTCATTTGCTGTTTTGCATTAAAAGTTAATGGTTCACTAGTGTATACAGTTAAATTAGTGTTTGTGTAACTGATAAGGTGATCAAACTTCTCTTCATATCAAGTGATAATAAAGAAGGGCACATATTGAATTCAATTACATGTTTGTACATGTAAATATTGATGTAGTTACACCTATAATACAGTATACACAGAATAAATATCCAGTATACTTTAACAAAAAAATTACTGGCTTATAAAATTTAAAATGTGTTTACAAAAGTGCTTATCGTAAAGTAGCCACATTGAAATTGATTTATTATTGTAAAGCATTATAAAAGTAATTGTATATCAATTACACTGATCAAAACATGTATCTGTCCTTCAGAGATGCATTCCAATTTAAAAACTGACTAAATCTTCTAAGTTTGAAGTGATAAACTGAAATCGACCTTAGAAAAAAAATAGCTTGAATTTTGTTTAGGAAGGCTAAAAATAAAGCCAGAAAAACCAATCTATCTTTATATCACTAAATGCCAGACATTTCAAATCTACTATAAATATCCAATGCATTTTTTAAACACTGTTATTCATCATTTTGGGGATATCAAGATGAAAGTTTGAAGGTGGTCAGCCAAAGGTGTAGAAGCTGGTTAAACTGTATGCACACACCTGAAAGGTGGCCAAGATCAAAGTGACATTATGCTTATATTTTCATAGTCAAGTTGAGCTGAATTGACTTTATATTTCAAAAGATTGACTGTTAACCCTTTCACTGCCATAGGGACGGCTTTAGCCGTTTCTATTATAATAATAGTAATAATAATAAATCAATAATACAGGTGAGCAATAAAACAATAACCCTCTGGCAGCGAAAGGGTTAAAATGATGTCTGACCAAAAAGTAATATTTGAAAATGTTAGGATGAAAATATAAATCTGCCTAAATATAAAAAGACTACCCCACTCAGTCTCTTTTTATAAACTGAACGTTACACGTAAATTCTAATGGATATTTATAGAATATTCCATAGGATCCGTGCATTATTTATTTTTTATGCGAAGTCAATTATTAAATCAAAAGGAATTATTGCAAAATGAAAACTTATTTATATATTCACATGTTCACTCACTATATACCCTTAGATGGGCATAATGTCACTTCAATAATGGTGGAAAAGGTTTATCACTTTTGGTTCTTTAATAATATAGAAGAATTTCCGGTGCTAACATATAAACATAACAAATTTAGTAAATTTAATTCAAATCCATAATTTGTCATAAAAATACACAGGCTGTTAAAAAGAAAGATAAATAAGAGCACTTTTAGAATATGTCCACAGTCCACAGCAAAATCCATGTTTTAAAATCCTTATCGTAACCCATCAACCTCTAACCCATAACACTAAGTCGCACGCAAGAGATATGTAAGTGACTGACAAACCACATACCATGATGTGCATAATAATTAAGTTGTGCACATAATACACTATATCATGCACAGAGTTATTAAGTAATGCGCACAAGTTACCAAGTTGAAAAAGTATGAAAAAATGAACAAAGGCCAAAAACTCCAAAATTAGGCAAAACAGAGTCATGGTTCTTTGCACTGCACTATTCAATGAGATCTATCTTCCTATAAAGTTTTGTGTTGGTATCTCTTATAGTTTATAGTTATGTCCCGGGTAAAGTTCAAAGTGTAAAAATGAACAAAGGGCAATAATTCAAAAAATAGGCAAGGCTGTGCTCAGGGTTTTAGCACTGCACTACTATCCAATGAGATCGATCCACCTACAAAGTTCCATGTTGATATCTCTTATAATTTTACAGTTATGTCACAAAGTTCAAGTATAAAAATGAACAAAGGGCAATAACTCCAAAAAAAGGCAAGACAGAGTTATGGTTCTTTAGCAATGCACTTCTTCACAATGA